ATGTTTGGATCTGCATTTTTTCTGTCCTACTAATGCCCTTTGCAAGACTGCAGATCATATATGTATGGAACCCAGATCACTCTCAAGGTATTGCTGGTATTGGATGCTTAGGCTGTCTTTTTTTATATGCTTTTCTCTTTTGTGTATGTATATTGTTCACACAAGATTTGTTCCCTCAGATGGTACTAATTCCTTTTGTGATGCGTATGTTACACACCAATCCCATTACCATTGCTTAAAGCAAGAAGAAAGAAGGAAGAATAATCTTTTCTTTTCTAAACACTCAGAGATCTGGGATTGATGAGCTATATTATTCAGCGGTTGTTAAACTAAACTAATGTTATATTAATAATCCAGTATCGATTCTGTTTAGGAATTCTGAGTTAGATTTGTCCAAGAAAAGAAAGATGTGATGGATTGGATTGGACCTCACTTGATTTCAGTTGAATAATTAATATGGTCTTGTCTAATTCTTCGTGACCTCAAAGCATCATGACTTTTCTCCTTTGATCTTTTGCACCTCATGTACGAGTAATGAATTAATTCAACTAAACTCTTCTTAAAGTGTATTGGATATCATCTTCAAAAGTACATCTACTTATATTAAGACAAAGTTTAAATTCAATTAAAACTTCAAAGAGCTATAAAAAATTTAGAATGAAGAATGATAAAGATGGTAATGTTTTCCTATTAATTTGGTGTCAAACCCGTGTGGTGTTATTAAAGACAAATCATTTGGACTAAGGTTGAACTAATTTAATTATAAAAAACTGTCCTTCGTATAATTAACATTAGTTGAGTCAAAGATTATGACCATCTTCCACACCTAAATTAAGCAATTAATTAGCGAGAGATTACTCCATGTGTCCTCATGACTGAAAATGGAACAATGGTTATATAGTGGTACTGTGTGGAGGGATCAATGAAGGAAAGGTGAGAGAAGAAAGCGTCGTGAAGAGGGAAGAGAGGAGAAGGCGTGAATCAAGGGTTGGTGTAAGTTTTGTGTCATAAATTGGTGAAGCTGAGGCATATGCAAAACACTGAATGCCTTTAATGGTTCTGACTCGTTGTTTCTGATGTTTGCCAATTATACAGTTGAGTCGCCATCAGCATTGACGCCATGGATTCCCTCTTTTCACTGAATTGATGTCTATGTCTCTGTTAATTTTAAAACCCCAGTGTGTGGTTTTGCATTCCAAAAACTGGTTACCAACCTGTAGCTCCTACTACTAGTACATAATTTGTCAGCTTAACTTCTGCAACCCAAACTCCCCCACACTTTTCTCTCCATCACGCTTTTCGAACCCATATTATCCAAAAACAAATTAAATCTCCACCGTCCTCCCAATTGCATGTCTGATATCTCCTGTACCATGTAATAATGATCACTCTAGGTCTAGGGACCACTGGCCCATGTAATAGTAACAATAGGGTATAAAAGCAAGGGAATAGAAATGGGCTTTACTGGGCTTCTCACTGTTTTTTATTTTCGTGTGTTGGGCTTGATTTTTAGCAGATTTGGGTTGAACTTTCGAATTTCTTGAAGACTTGGATTTCTCCCCATGAATGGGTTTTCTTCTTTCCTTTCTGGATGTGTGAAAATATTGAAGGTAATGGGTTTAAATTCATCCCCCAAAAAGGAGAGATTACTGATTAGCTGGTTCTATACACAGATTAAGAAAAGCAAAGGTGTTATTAATGGTTTTAGATACATTCATAGAAGCTTGAATACGGAACTTTTTTTTGGTTTTATTCCTCTAATCTGTACTAGCTGGTTTATTTCTTTATTTTTTATAGGTAAATAGAAATGGCATTCACAATATAATTTTTTAAAAAAACTCACACAAAAAGATTTGAACAGGGGAAAAACAAGTTATGCAAGTATTTGTATCTAATTCCACTTAAATCCATCACTATGAGATTTTTATGTAATATATAAAAACAATAAAAAACATTGCAACATCAACTTTTATGTAATCCTCAAGAATATAAATTCTAACAACTAATCGAGGAAACCACCTAAAGAGATTGGCTTTTTGTTACAACCCATTTTTTAGATCAACATAAAAAATATCTTCAAATTAGATATCAAAAGAAACCAATAAACACCACACATTATATAGTTCAACTGACTGTGGCAAAACCTCCATTAAAAACCTAATGAAAATAAAAATCTTTATTGAAAATCTAAAGAAAATAAAAATAAAAGAAGAATGATTACTCCAATCCTAGGGTGACAAACCATTCTTACGAAGATTCTAGGAAGCTTGCCATCCAAGAAAACAATGTGAAAGACAGGTCAGAGTTTTTTTTTTGAGAAGGCTAGTTGGTTTTACTTCTATAAAAGAGAAAAGCATTTAAAAAATACAGCCTAAGCATCCAATACCAGCAAAGATAAATTAAAACAGCTAAAATAGTTCCATATATATATATATATATATCTGATCTGTACAGGCTGGTCTATATCTATAAAAGTTATGTAAAGATAAATTAAAAGGTGATGTATAATGGCAATGCACAAGCACAGCAGAAACATATCTTGTTTTAGGCACGCTTTGCCATTAAGGACTGCTAGAAATAAACCAGCAGAAGTCCCAAAATCAACATCAAATGCTAAGAATTTTTTCAACAACTCTAGAAAACGTATGTGTTCGCAGTATCAAAGAGACTCATTTAATTGATATTAACCATATAAATAAATGGTGCATGCCAAACCATTGAGCCAAAGAACAATGGAAGAGAAAACGTTTACACTACTTTTGCTCTTCGCCTTCTTTTCCTTCAGTTTTGCCTTTTCTGCCAATGAATACCCCGGAAGATGGAAGCTATTGAAGAAAAACAGCGGAATTTCGCCAATGCATATGCAATTGCTACCTAATTCCGCTGTCATTGCATTCGACAGAACAAACTCTGGCAATTCCAACATTTCTTTACCGGATGGAAAGTGCATAAAGTTCGAACGGTCTCTTGATTGCACTGCTCACTCCATAGAGTTTTATCCCGCCAACAGAAGTGTTCGACCTCTGTCACTATGGTCCGACACATGGTGTTCTTCAGGTGCATTGTCACAGGACGGTGTGTTGGTGCAGAGTGGTGGATACCACCACGGAGGGCATGTTGTCCGCTACTTCGACCCCTGGAAAGGATCCGACGCTGACTGGATGGAGGATCGGAAAGGTCTTATTCGGCCTAGATGGTATGCTTCTAATCAGATTTTGCCTAATGGAAAAATAATCGTCGTTGGCGGAAGAAATGAATTTAACTATGAGTTCATCCCCAAAACATCTGATTCTGATCATGTGCTATACCCACTTGGATTCCTTCAAGAAACCTTACATACAAAGTCCGTCCAGGACAATCTATACCCTTTTACCCACCTTGCACCTGATGGAAATCTCTTCATTTTTGCCAACGACAGAGCAATTCTACTCGATTACGAGCAGAACAAGGTGATCAAGAAATACCCTGTTCTTCCTGGAGGATATGCTCGTAATTATCCTAGCACAGGTTCATCAGTTCTCCTCCCATTGAAACTTTCCAGCAATTCTAGTGCAACTCTTGATGCTGAAGTTCTCATTTGTGGTGGTTCAGTCCCGAATTCCTATTCAATGGCGCGTGTCACAAAGTTCTTACCGGCAACCAGAACCTGCGGTCGATTATCAATCATGGCGGCAAATCCCAATTGGGAAATCGAAGAAATGCCGTTTAAAAGGGTGCTAGGTGACATGATTTTGCTTCCTACAGGAGACGTGCTGATCGTAAACGGAGTGGAAAATGGCTCTGCTGGTTGGGAATTTGGCAGAGTACCGGTTTTGAACCCTGTTCTTTATCATCCCAATAAGGACAGGGTTAAGAACGGCAGCAGATTCCAGATTCTGAGCCCCAGTTCAAAGCCTCGTGTATACCATTCTAGTGCAATTCTGTTACCGGATGGTCGTGTCTTGATCGGAGGAAGTAATGCCCACGAGTTCTACAATTTCACTGCTCTGTTCCCCACTGACATCAGTCTCGAGGCCTTCTATCCTCCATACCTTAACCGCAATAATCACCGACCCAGGATCGGTTACCTGAAACCAGGGAATCTAATCGGATACAATCAGAAATTTTCTGTGGAGTTTTGGTTAAATGATGGGGGAAAGGATGCTAATCCGGCCAACACTTATGTGACAATGGTGGCTCCGTCTTTCACAACACATTCTTTTGCCATGAATCAAAGGTTATTAGTTTTGGCTTTAGATGGAGTTCGTCATGTCGTGGACAGGCACCATGCTGCTGATGTAAATGCTCCAGTGACTGCTTCAGTGGCGCCGCCGGGTTTTTATTTGCTGTTCTTGGTTCATGAAGGTGTTCCGAGCAGGGGTGTTTGGGTTCAGATTAAGTAGGTTTAGGCTGGACCTCAACAAATCCTTACTCTTAGAGTTAGAATAAGGGTTAAAAATCTCTCTACATTCTATTTTATTATGTATAAATTACACCTAAGAGTAATTCATCCACACCTTTGTTTTCCCCCACGAATGTTAATTTTAGAATGCCGGTCTAAATTATTCTCCCTCTATATAAAAAAACAATTTACCATGAGTAATTTGCCCGCCCTTAAGTTGAATTCATGGAGAAGAAACAAATTCTAATTAGTGACAGATGCTGATCTTAATTTCTGTGTGGAAAAAGTGTTTCATCTCCTATGAGAAATTTAGAAAGTAGAAGACACTTGATGCACCTCGTGAACTTTTGAAGTGGCATTGCAATTACATCTAAGAGATAGCACATTAGCAATTTCCGAATTAATCTTTAATGCTTTGAATACCAAAAGAGGCTTCTACTGAATTAACTTTGATTCTTTGATTGCTAAATGAGGCTAGCTACTAATAATTACATGAAATAGACCAATAGAATTAATGCACCGTTTTGGGGGAGAAACTGATGAGCTTCTGCACCTCTAGAATAACCTTTAAGGTGTGCAACTGCAATTTGAGCATTCAGAAAGTCATATGGATTCATAAGAATCATAACGCAGCTAGCAACTCGGCAAAGCAAGCATACTTATTTCTAGACTCCACAAGCTCATGCTTGGACAAGAACTTGTGTAAGCTTATCTGGGAAAAACTCTCCCGTCCAAAAGTCAATGTTTTCAACTTGAAGCCTTATGCTAAGTGGCCCCCTAGGATCCACCTTAAAATATTTTAAAAAATTTATGTTAAATTTTAAAGGTAAAAAAATTTAATACTTTTATTTGTTTTTCTTTAAAATTAAAATATATATATATATATTTAGTCAACCATTTTAAAATTTAAAAGAGAATAAAGGCTATATAGCCTGCCACTATACTTAATTTTTTTAGGTAATTAACTCTGTTTAATTACTTGTTTTCCTTCTTCTATTAGAATTATGCTTCAACTAGTCTTCTTAGGATTATTATTAAGTTCTTTATATTACTTGTTCAACTCTATAATGATTTTTTAGCCAAAAAAAAAAAATCTAAATTAATTAAATATTAAGAAATTATTAATAGAAAATAAGTATCAAGAGTTGAAAATTTACATTGGCCATGATTAAATGTTGAATGCTATTTCCTACAACCGGAACAAAAACATTACAATAATAAGAATACGAAGGAAAAGAGGTCTTAAAACATTTAATACATAGTAAAATATAAAATTAATATGCATTTAAAATTATATAATAAACAATTTATTAATTGTAGGTTAATGTAGAAGGGAAAGGGTCCCTATAAATATTAGCATGCATTTAATAGTTGACATGAATTATAATCCTTTATTTTTATCTTCTATAAAACTTGGGATTTATTCATTTTCCTTCGGTATAATGCATTATATATGCAACTAAAAATAATGATGAAAAATAGTTGAGAATAGAAATTAAGATAAGTAGAAAGAAAATAAGATAAGAAAATAAAATAATAATTGATTATTAATTGTAGGTTAGTGTAGAAGATAAAGGGTTAGCTCCATTTAAATGTATTTAATTTTTACTTTTTAGGATGCATTTAATAGCCAATATGCATTGTAATCCTTTATTTTTAACCTACATAAAACTTGGGATTTATTCATCTTTCTTTGGTACAATGCATTCGATATGTAACCAAAAATAATAATAATAATAATAAAATAATTGAGAAGAGAAAGATAAATAGGGAAGAAAAAGAAGATGAAAAGGTAAAATAGTAAAAAAACATTTATTGCATTTTAATGTAAAAATAATATTTTTATTTTTTTTAACAATTTTTTCTATAATTAAAACAAAAATAACAAAATTTAGTACCTATTTAATGCTTGGGATTGCATTTTATATAACATATAAATAAATAGATATAGATTGGCATTAGGTTTTTTAATTTCTAAACTTAGTGTACAATAACACAATCTTTCTTCAATTTTCTCTCCTTTTTTTTTTTTTTTGACAAGAGATTTTTTTAATTGGGTTCTTAAAATTCCTTTGTAGATTGCAGCTTTTAGTGATGTCTTGATGTTTTTGAAAAATCAAGAAATTTATTATTTTACTCTATTATATATTTTTAATAATATATTATATTATAATTTGTAACTATTATTCTGTAATAAGGAGTTATTTTTTTTAATCGCTAAATTGTTCTTTGATTGTTGATTTATGCTTTGTTTGTTAATGTTGTGTTGTCGTAATAAGATTTTTTTAGTTTTTTACTATTTCAAAAGTACATAAAATGTTAATTAAAATTAGTAAAAATATATAAAAATAATTAAAATTAATTAAATATTATAATTTTTTATTTTTAAATAAAGAGTTATGTGAAAAATGTTTGTGAAAAGTACCGATCAATGAAGCCTTAATTTGTACAGTTGTTGATTGATTTAAAAGATTTACTGTACTATTACTAATTTTATTGGGTGAAAAGACTTTTGAATTGTTAATTTTGGATTTTATTGTGCTATTAAATTTATAAATGCACTAAAAGTACAATTGCACAAAACTATAGGACAGCAAGCCAATAAGACCATAAAATAATTGGTTTTGACTAGTGCATGGTGGGAACTGGGCAGGGCGAACAGGGAAGAAATGAAAGTCTGTTTTTGGCTTGTGCTCCTCCCTAGCTACAAATTCTTGCAATGCCATTGCTTATGCCTAACTGCCTCCCAACAAAGCACAACTTGGGTATTAGGGGGAGTTAACTTATCTCAAAGTATGTCTTGCCTCTGTGGTGAAAGTATTGAAGATGTCAACCTTGTTTTTGTTTCGTGTAGAAGAGTTCAAAGTCCTTGGTTGCATTTCTGTCGTTGGTAGGACCTCTCTTTTGTATGCCCAACCTCTGGTCCACATCTCCTTCTCCATGTTGTCTTTGGTTTTGGAAGTAGCTCCACCTGGAATTGTTGGGCTCTATCTCTATTAAATGCAGCTTGGTCTACCTGGTTAACTCAAAATAATGCGCTCTTCAATTGGTCTCTTGGGAAGAAGACAAGGGTTTTGTGAACTAGTTTAAAACTTCAAACTATATCATTCTTCTGGATTCGAGGGAACAATGACAAATTTTCTTCTCCTTCAGTTACTGGTGTCAATTTCCCTAGTTTTTTTTCCCAAGGAATCTTAACTGCTCTCTTTGACCTTGTATCTCCTGTGGGTCTTGTTGTCCTGTATGACATTTTCCTTGTCAATTGATTTGGGTTGGGTAGAATTCCTTTTAAAAAAAATTTATTAAAAGAAAGAAAGAAAGAAAGAAAGATGACCAATGGAATGCTGTTTTTGCCTTCCTTTCCTCTCTGATTGCTGTTTTTAAACATGAATGAAAAGAGGCGAAGCTTTTCTCGTATTTGCGATACATACGACTTTTATCACAGCTGTAGTCTATCGTCTTATTGTGGAAATTTGAATATTTGATTTTTAACCCAAACTAATAATCCAAAATCCAACTAGCTTTATCATCAACTGAATTAAATAAGAGCACTATTATTATTTTTTTATATAAAAGTTTGAAAATTTTTCTTTAACTTTAAATTAAGACTTTTAAATTAGTAAGATCAATTCGATTAAATACTTATTAATACAAGACTATTTAGTAAAAGAACTAAAACACTAAAAGACAAAAATAATAATAATAATATATAAAAACTAGGCCACAGCTAAACCCATGAATTCGGCCCAATTAACAGCCCACACAAAATGATAATAATAAGATGGGGACTGGCTTCAGAGTATTTATTCATTCAGAGGTGGACTCTCAATAATGGCCCATAGACTTGAATAGAGGTGGTCAGTGGTCTTTTTATTTTATTTTTTATTTTATTTTGGTAGATAGGCCCGCTCTGAAGGGTGTTACTGAGTTGGGCTCAGTCTTAAGGCCTACATGAGATGGGCTTAGTTGCGGTACAAATAAGATTTGCATAATAAAAATTAAGAACCTACTTGATTTGAAAGAAATAAATGAGAGGTAATATTTTTCTCATTTTCGTCCCCTCCTCTCCCCTCCCTTTCCTCTGCCTCATTTGGCTATACTTAAATGTGTAACGGAAATTAAAACAAAACTTAAAAGGGAAAACCCCTCCCCTCTATTTTTTTTTTTATCCAAATAAGAAAATTTCTTCCATTTCCTTCCCCTCAAACCAAATAGGTTCTAAAGGTATGGTTCTAGTTTTTAATTTTTAGTTTTACTTTTTATAAATTTTGTACCTCTAAACATGAAACTCATTTAGTTTATGTTTGATTTTCAACCTATTATTATGACTATTAAAGAAATTAAAAACAAAATTAGCTTTAGCTATACTAAACAAATTTATAATTTTTGTTGCATGTGTTGAATGTTATCCTAAATAAATTGTTGACTTTGGTTTTAGCTTAGTTATCTAGTTGTTGCAAATTTTTTTAAACTAAATAAAAAAATAAAAAATAAAATCATACCAAATGAAACTTAAAAGAAAATATTTAAAATTTTGAATTGGGTAAAAAATAAATAATAAAAAAATTTTAATTATTTTGAGGGGCAAACCTTTCTCTGCCTTCCAAATTCCTATATACTTAACCAGGCTTACTTCCTATATGGGAAAAAAAAAAAAAAAGGGTTCGATTAATACGAGGCTAAAGAAGCAATCATTATTCATGGAGTTGATTGTGTTTCGATAGCAAACAGCAGGGAATATAAATCATCATCAGTGTTTTGACTCGGAATTTCAATTATGCTTGTGCAAATTGTGGTCAATATACTATAAAATGATGCAAATGGACTTTTTTTTTTCTTGTTTTTGCGCTGGACGAAAGGTTCATTGTTCTCAATTCTCATGCCAAGCCGCCCACACGGATCATGTGGTGGTTGTTAACTATAGTTTGCGCTCTTTTGTGTCAAATCCAAAAAAAAATAAAACAAAAATGAAATGTAACTTTAGTAATTAATATTAGGTCCCGCTTCCATGCATTAATAGTATGTAAACAGGGTTGATGATTTGATGGTTGTCTTTCTTTCTTTTCCAGGTTTGAAAGCGCAACACATTTAGTTGTTTTAAGGTCACTTAATTTTTAAATATTTTATTAATTTATAATTATTTAAACAATTAATTATAGTGTTTTTTA